CTGCAGAGGTCAGCTGCCCGCCTCCTCTTCTCCTTCTACAAGGATGGAAGGATAGTGCGAAGCAGGGGCCTCTCCTCAGAATTCCAGATTCCCTCAGCTTCAGAAGAGCATTCTGGGTCCTACTGGTGTGATGCCGCCACTGGGGACAACCAAGTTTGGAAACAGAGCCCCCAGCTGGAGATCAGGGTGCAGGGTGAGTTAGTATTTATGTGTCTGTTTGGTGTGTGTGTGTGTGTGTGTCAGCAGGTTAAGAAGGGACACAGAGCATGCAGGAACAATAAGCTGGAGACTGTTTGGTGTGTGTGTGTGTGTGTGTGTGTATGTGTCAGCAGGTTAAGAAGGGACACAGAGCATGCAGGAACAATAAGCTGGAGTTCCTGATGATGGAAGAGAGCTCAGATAGAGAACCTCTCCCTCAGACTGTGGTGCATATATCACCAAACCAAGACCTGAGCAGCTCCACACCTGCTGCCCCATAGATCTGAGGGTCCCTATATCATCTCTGGGCATTTATAGGAATATAACATCTACAATGAGGATGAGGTAGTTTGGAGTCTATGTTCAATTCTGGGAGCTACTGTTAAGGAGGCTGCACTTGACCTGAAATACACCCAGAGGAGGCGTCCAGGGTGATGAGGGGGCTCGAAACCATGTCATATAAAAAATAATGTAAGGGACTAGAGATGCTCATCCTGAAGAGGAGGTGACTCAGGGGGCCAGCAGAGGTGTCCCGAAAAACCCGAAGGCTGGCACAAGGACAAGGAATTACAATAATGCCATTCACAATAAAGAGGTTGACCAAGGACCAGTTACCACATTCATGCTTTAGGGACTTAGATTCTGCCCTGAAAGAGAAGGGACTGGTTAATAGTTATAGCTGTCTAATGGTGAGGTCTTATCACTGAATATTCTCAAGCAGAGGTAACCAAGCTTCAGATTAAAATTTGGAACAGGAAGGACACTAGAATCTGCAAGTCCCTTCTGCCAGGGGGCCACACAGCCAATTTCAGAGAATGAGAAAGACTGACCAGGGAGATGAGGGTGGGTCAGACTTCACTCTTGTGTGTGTCTCCTACCCCATAATCCAGGTCCCTCTGGCTCTGCTGCATCCCCCATCTTGAATCCAGCTCCTCAGAAATCAGCTGCTCCAGAAACTACTCCTACGGGGCCCCCTGGGTCTCTGCCTCCACTGCCCACCCCTTCTTCTGAGGATCCAGGCTTCTCCTCTCCTCTGCAAACGCCAGACCCCCGTCTGCATTACCAGATGGGCATTCTTCTCAAACATATTCAGGATGTGAGAGTTCTCCTTGGTCATCTAGTCATGGAGCTGAGGGACTTGTCTGGCCGCCTGAAGCCTAGAACTACCAAGGCCAAACAAAAGTAAACTATTCACCCATGATATTGTTCAACCACCCCCAATAAATCCAACTCTTCCTATTCTTTCTCTTCCTGTCCTACACATATGCATAAATAGTTTTACAAGTCATCCTAATGTTTCGTTAGAATAATGGAGATAGCTGAGTTATAAATAAATTTGTACAAAGTGATAATTGGAGTTAAGCTATAATCATATCTCTCTCTTAACATGACAACATAATTCTACTCTCTCTAGACCAGTAATTTCCTTCTGTTGCGCAGGCCAGGATCTGGTGATTTAAAGAGAAGCAATGGAGGTGGATTTAATGCGGCAGTCTCAACTCCCCCGGGGGACCCTAGACAACATCGGGAGGCATTTTGGTCATCACAGTGGGTGGGTGGGAGATGTGTGTGCTTCTGACACCTAGAAAGTAGAAGCCAGGGATGCTGCTAAACATCCTATAATGCATAGGGCAGCCCCCCACAACAAAAGATTAAGTGGCCCAAACTGTCAATGGTGTCGAGGTGGAGAAACCCCAGCCTAACAAAACCCTCAGGTGTTAGACTCTGGGGTGGGCCTTTGCCCCTTCTAATTATTCTTCTAATTATTACTTGTAATATGGTATTTTAGTGCCATATTAATATTTTTTTTGTGCTTTGACTGCTATTGTACATTCTCAACCAGTGGGAGCTAGCCTGGCAGACTCTACAGAAACCTTTGGTCAATAAGTTAGCTCACCCTTGTACAACGACCTCAGCTGATGAGCATTCTACCATGTTATCCTGAATGTTCTCCAATGTGCCCTTTCTTTGGGTCATTTATTTTGTGCAGTTTTCACCCACAATGATTTACAAAAGACATGCACACGATTGTTCTAGACGTGCCACAGAGAAACAAAGGAATACAATCATGCTGATTTGATAAAACGAGAACTTTATAACTGTCCCTAGCACCTTCAATGGGAAGAGTCAGGAGGCAATTGGGAGTGGGTAGAAGTCCATAAATATCACTGTAGCCTGAGAGGTTTGATTAACAATCATATGAACAGGAGTTGCAAAAAATGACCAGAGGTATGTCACGGCTTTGAAGGACTTTTTTTTTTAAATGGAAGCTCAATTGCCAATGTACCATGCTGGATGTATCTCCAAAGATACTACGTTAGAACCATTCGACATGAAGTCAATTTCAGTTAATGCTCCCATTTTCATAAATGCATCCTGCAAGCTAAATACTAAACAGGGGACTCATTTACAGATAATAAAAGCTATCAGAGATCAGAGAAAGAAAAAAATGGATGCAGATGGCTGAGATAAATGTCACCTCTGTACTCTTCATCCACGTGTATGTGCTCCCTCTATCAATACACTGAATTTTAGTTTTTTGTGATCTTATTTCTATTCACTAGAGGGTGAGCTCTTGGAGAGGGTTCCTTGAGCTCTTTGTTCAACATTGTCTCATTGGTGTGTAGTTCAATGAGGCATATATAAGCCCTCAGTGAATTCTGTTCAGCTGAATGAGTTAGACCAGTATCATAAGGGAAGGCATCTTGAAGAAGATGGAAATTTAGCTGGACCTTAAAGAATGTGTGGTATGTCACACATCAGTAAAATCTGCAGACTCTGTCCAGAGGCCCCAGCCTAGTTCAAGGTCTTAGCCTCAGGGAGAGATCTCCCACCATCAGGGATGAGGAAGGCAAGAACAAAGCTGAAAAAATTTATGGCCTGTGNAGTCAGGAGGCAATTGGGAGTGGGTAGAAGTCCATAAATATCATTGCAGCCTGAGAGGTTTGGTTAACAATCATATGAACGGGAGTTGCAAAAAAATGACCAGAGGTATATCACGGCTTTGAAGGATTTTTTTAAAAATGGAAGCTCAATTGCCAATGTACCATGCTGGATGTATCTCCAAAGATACTAAGTTAGAACCATTCGACATGAAGTCAATTTCAGTTAATGCTCCCATTTTCATAAATGCATCCTGCAAGCTAATACTAAACAGGGGATTCATTTAAGGATACTAAAAGCTATCAGAGATCAGAGAAAGAAAAAAATGGATGCAGATGGCTGAGATAAATGTCACCTCTGTACTCTTCATCCACGTGTATGTGCTCCCTCTATCAGTACACTGAATTTTAGTTTTTTTGATCTTATTTCCATTCACTAGAGGGTGAGCTCTTGGAGAGGGTTCCTTGAGCTCTTTGTTCAACATTGTCTCATTGGTATGTAGTTCAATGAGGCATATATAAGCCCTCAGTGAATTCTGTTCAGCTGAATTGAGCTGGACCAGTATCATAAGGGAAGGCATCTTGAAGAAGACGGAAATTTAGCTGGACTTTAAAGGATGTGTGGTATGTCTCGGATCAGTAAAATCTGCAGACTCTGTCCAGGGGACCCAGCCTAGTTCAAGGTCTTAGCCTCAGGGAGAGGATCTCCCACCATCAGGGATGAGGAAGGCAAGAACAAAGCTGAAAAAATTTATGGCCTGTGTAGTTTAGGATTCTGTAATCCACAGAAGTCCCAATGCAGCTATGTTCAATGTTGTCTCTGAAATCACCATTAGACAGCAAGCATATCAAAGGAAAAACTTTCTCTACTCACAGCACTTCTGACACCAAACGTGTGGGTTTTCTACACCAAGCAATTCTCCAGTTCTCAGCAGGAACCAACTGGATGTCCTTCAATTTAATTAAATTCTAATACTAACTTCTCAGAATCAGTGCAGACCCCACAGGTTAAGGGGTCATTTTCAGATGACTGCTCCCACTTCAGAAGGCAATGGCAAATTCCAGGCCTCTGGTATTCATGACCAACCAGCTATAAATTGGAGGTGCCCACAAGTCCTTCCTTGCGCTCAATAATTGGTACAATGGCTCATAGAACTCAGGGTAACATTTTATTGAACAGCCAATGGAAGATATGCACAAGGCAAGGTACAGGTAAAGGGGCACAGAACTTTCCATGCCCTCTCTGGGTGTGTCTCCCCCCCA